ACCAGCTTGTCAACCTGCGCACTACGCTCTCTGTGTGCTTGGTACAGCACTAGCATGCGCGATATGCTAACCATGGCCGACTGCTTGGGTGTATACGTGAGTGGATCTAGCCACGCCCGGTCAGCGCTGACGCCCAGCACCGCCATGCCACTGATCAAGCCGCTCTCATACTCGCTGCTGGCCAGCATGTGATCTAGCAGCGCAAGCATGAATGCGAGCACTTGATCTTGCAACGCCTGGGCCTCCTCTCCGTCTAGTCGCTCTTCCTCACTGTCGCTATCGCTCTCTAAGCCAGCTTCTTCTTCTGCTTCTACTACTGCTGCTTCTTCTTCTAGGTCGTACCCTATAATCTCCTTCATCTCCTCCAAGCATGCCTTCTGCTCGCTCGTCAAGCGGTATGGGGGGCGTCTGCCCTGCACTTCATCGCGCAAATCTGGCTGGACTACGGGCAGCTCGTATGTCCGCCAGATATACGCAATCACCTGAAGCCACACTAGACGGTATTTCTTCATAGTGAGCTCTGTCTGGCTCGCGTTAAACGGCTTTTCGTTGGTAGTAGTCCCATACTCGCGCCGGTTAATGTGCATCATGGCGGGCATGCCTACTACGCTGGAGTGGGAAGCCTGCTGCGCCCTCCAGATCACCATCTCCGCGGCCCAGCACACGTCACGCAGTGCCCGCTCTCGGTAGCTGGGTATCTGTGCCATGTCCAGTAGCCATAGTCGGTCCAGTCCCTTCAAGTGCCGTTTCCAGCCTGCCCGGTTCAGCCATGTCTGGTATCCCCACCGACTGCTGTCCTCTTCAATAACGTTGCTGGCGTTTCTGCTCTCTATCACGCTGTCAATCTGCGCTGCTGTTTTAGCGAATACGCGCCTTAGCTGCTTTTCCTCGTCGTCGCTATTTTCTAGCTCAGCGGGCGCAGCGCCCTGGACCTCAAACAGTCGACCTAGCGTGCTGGTGTTGTGAAACTTCTGGCACATAACCCTACCCGTCCACCTCTGCTGTGTAGCTGGGCGACCGACTCTGCGTGTATGGCTTTGCGTCCAGCTATGGTGAATCCGGCCATGCTCCTGCATCTTCTTCATATGGCGATAAATATAGCCACATTCTACGCACTTCAATCCATCCTCGTATACTAGTAAGTGGGGTAGTGGTGCAGTGTCGGGGCGAGGAAACACGACCTGGTCTGCATCGCTAGCCCAGTTCTGTAGTGATGCATCTGTATCTGTAGACTTGATGATATCCTGCCGGATTCTGGGATACA